AATAATCCCTACTCCGTGGATTCCCTTTGAGCCTTGTGTTGCTGGAGTCTAGCTGCCTAGGCATCAATAGACAAAGTCAAAAGAAGAGAAGCACACAGACATTCAACACCAACAGCACTATCCCTCTACCACCAACACTAACAACACTAACAACAGCAACAATAAAATAACAGGAATCAGCAATCATTGGTCATTTATATCTCTCAACATCATAGTCTCAATTTGCCAACAAAAAGATACAGAATAACAGAATGAATGGATTAATTCATCTGCTGCATCCAAGAAATATCCTTTAACATTAAGGCTAGACATCACCTCTAGGTAAAATGTTGTAAAAAAGTTACTCCAAGCAAATACACCTAAGAAACAATCTGTTATAGCCATTTTAATATTTAACAAAATATATTTCAAATAAAAATGAATAAGAAGAAATAGAGAAGGAAACTACACACACACTCATCAAAGGAAAAATTCACCAGGAGAACAATTCAATTCTTGACTTCTATTCCCCAAACACAAGGACACACAAGAGAAAATAAGAAATACTACAGCTAATACTATCCCATACTGAGTCTCACACATTGATAGTGGGAGATTAAAAACCCCATTCTTGACAATGGACAGACCATACAGACAAAAGTAAACACAGAATTGTGGAAGCTAAATGATGTTATAAACCATATGGACCTAACAGATATTACCATAGAACATTTCACCCAAACACAAAGAATTTACCTTTTTCTCAGAATCTCATGACTTTCTCCAAAATTGACCACATACTTGGACACAAAGCAAGTCTCAACAAATATAAAAATTGAAATAACACCCTGGATCCTATCTGACTGCCATGGATTAAAGCTGGATATCAACAATAGCAGAAACAGCAGACATATACAGAAACCAAACAACTCTCTATTGAGTGAAAAAAGGGCCAGGACAGAATTTAAAAAAGAAATTGCAAATTTTCTAAAATTGAATGAAAATGAATATACAACATACCCAAAAGTTGAGGACACAATGAAGACAACTTCATGGTAGTAAGTACTTAACATAAAAAATTAGAAAGACCTCACTCTAGTAACTTAGCAGCACTCCTGAAAACTCCAGAACAAAAAGAGATCACACCCAGGAGTGGGTGGCAAGAAGTAATCAAACACAACAATGAAATCAATAATATACAAAAATAATACAAAGAACCAACAAAACAAATAGTTGGCTATTGAGAAAATCAATAAGATTAACAAACTCTTATCCAAAAAACTCAAAGAGCACTAGAGAAGATGCACAGTAACAAAACTAGAAATGAAAAGAGCGACATAGCAGCAGACACTGAGGAAACCCAGATAATCATAAGAACCTACTTTAAAAACCTGCATTCCACCAAACTGGAAAAGCTAAAAGAAATGGATTATTTTCTCCATACACACCATTTGCCAAAGTTAGAAATTTGTCAAAATCAGATAAGCAATTTAAATAGACCTATAATGCATAGTGAAATAGAAGCAGTGATTAAAAGCCTCCCAGTCTAAAGAAGCCCAGGGCCACATGGTTTTAGTGTAGAATTCTACCAGACATTCAAAGAATAGTTAATTCCAATAATCCTCAAATTATTCCACAACATAGAAACAAAAGAAAAATTGTTCAATTCATTTTCAAAAGCCACAGTTATCCTGATACTCAAACTACTATTTTTTCTCATAAACTTGGAAGCAAAAATACTCAATAACATGCATGCAAACTGAATACATGAGAAATACATGAGAAAGCATACATGAGAAAGATCATCCACCATGATCAAGTAGCCTTCATCCCAGGTGTTCAGGGATGGTTCAACATAGGTAAATTGATAAATGTAACCCATATAAACAAACTTAAAGACAAAAAATGCATGATTATCTCATCAGATGCAGAAAAGTACTTTAACAAAATCCAATACTCATTCATAATAAAAGTCTTGAATTGATTAGGGACATACCTCAGCATAATAAAGGCAGTTTGCAGCAAGGCAGTAGCCAACACCAGCTTAAGTGAAAAGAAACTCAAAGCAATTTCACTGAAATCAGGCACAAGAAAAGGTTGTTATCTCTCTTCATATCTATTCAATATAGTATTGGAATTCTAAGTTAGAACAGTAAGACAAATGAAAGGGATCAAAGGGATAAACATCAGAAAGGAAGAAGTCAAAGTATCTTTATTTGTAGATGATATTATATTATGTATAAATGACACAAAACTTCCACTAGGAAACTCCTAGATGAAAATTTTCATCAAAGTTGGTGGATACAAAATTAACTCACAAAATCAGTTGTTCTCTGAAATACAAAGGACAAATATATTGAGAAAGAAGTCAGGGAAATATATTTCATGTAGCCTCAAATAATATGAAATCTCTTGAGGTAACTCTAAGCAAGTGGAAGACTTGTATGATATAAACTTCAAGTCATTGAAAAAAAAACTGAAGGCCATATCAGAAGATGGAAAGATCTCTCATGATCATGGATCAGTAAGATAAGCTTAGTAAAAATGAACATCCTCCAACTAGAACTCTACAGATCAATGCAACCCCCTCCAAAATTCCAACACAAAACTTCAAAGTTTCCAGCTTAATATGGAAGCACAAAATACCCAGGACAGCTTAAACAATCTTGAATAATAAAATAATTGCTAGAGGTATCACCATTCCCTATTTAAAGTTGCATTACAAAGCTATAATAATAAAAATAGTATCGTATTAGTACAAAACAGACATTGAACAATGGAATCAAGTTTAAGACCCAGACATAAGTCCACACACTTATGGACACCTGATGGACAGCATCTTCAACAAATGGTATTAATCAAACTGGAGGGCTGCATGTAGAAGAAAGCAAATAGTATCATACTGAATAAAACTGAACTCCCAATGCATCAAAGAGCTCAACCTAAAATTAAATGCACCAAACTTGGTAGAAGAGAAAGTGGGAATACTTTTGAACTAATTGGCACTAGAAAAGACTTTCTGAACAGAGCATGGTTAGAATAGACACTAAGATCAACAATTAATAAATGGGACCTCATGAAATTGAGACGCTTCTGCACAGCAAAGGGCACTGTCATTCCATATATATATTATATATATATATATATATATATATATATATAAAGAAATTAGATATCAAGAAAACATACAACCCAATTAAAAATGGGTTCTAGATCTAAACAGAATTTCCAATAGAGGAAAGTCAATGCCTGAGAAATATTTAAAGAAATGTTTAACATCCTTATCCATCATGGAAATGCAAATCAAAACCACTTGGAGATTTCACCTTACATCTGTCAGAATGGCTAATATCAACAAAACAAATAACAGATCATGCTGGCATGGATGTGGAGGAACACTCTTCTATTCCTGGTGAAGAGTGCAAACTTGTACAGCCACTATGGAAATCAGTGTGGCAGTTCCTGGGAAAGATGGAAATTGATCTCTCTTAAGATACACCTATACCCAAAGCCTGACAACTTCTTTAAATGTTTAACATGTGTCTTGTGACATAGAAAGTCTGCTACAAATCCAAAATTTGAGTACAAGGTATCACATGAAATCATGCATGAAAGTAACTGGGATGGGAGGCCACTACCTATAATTCAACCACTCAGGAAGCCAAGGCAGAGAGATCATGAGTCCAAGGCTACATGGAAACCTAGTCTAAAGAAGAAGAGCAAATAAGCAAGTGAAACAGTTGTGCAGATGATTGGGTAAGTGAATAGAATGTGTTGTGTACACACTTAGATGTCATTCCACAATGAAAGAAAACAAACACATTATGTAAATTGACATAGTCAGTCACAAAACATTCTACTTATATTCCATTGGAGACAAGCCCCAATATATCAAGACAAAGTAATGTCTTGGTTACATTGAAACAGGGTCAAAAGTAGTGATTGACAGCAAAGGGGCCTGAGCAAAGCCTTTGGCGGGAGAGTGAGGCTGTTCTGAATCTGATGTGGTGGCAGTTAAGTACCTTGAGAATTTTCTCAAACTTTCTAAGCCATATACCTTAAAGAGATTAATTTAATTTCACTTAAACAACCCACAGTAGTCTGAGGGTATAGTTCATATGCACAAGCCCTAAAATCAACCCTTAGCCCCATAAGGGACCTAAATTTATTATTGAAATGCAATTGTTTACATATTCTACCAGGAGAGGCACAATATATATTTTTGACACCTCTAGCCAGAGACCTGTTTCTCAACACATAATAAATCTGTGCATATCTTTACACCGGGTTTATTTATCTACAAAACTGCATATTTGTTATGGCTTGTAAGTTACTGAGGTTATTTTTGTTTGTTTTGTTTCTAATGCGTGGGTCTTGTTATCATGCCCTGGGCTTATATATTCCTCTTTTCTCAGTCTCCAAACATCTGAGGCAACAGACACTAAGAGCCAAATTTGTAGTTCATAATCTATTGGAAACAGCATTGTGAACTTACGAAGGTAATAGGGTCTTGAGAAATCAAGTTTTCTATTGGCAACTTAGAAAAATGAGGCAACATGAACTCGATGAGAGAGGACATGGGATTTCTTGTAGTCAACAGTGCCTGAAGCTTCTGCTTCATTTGAAAAGGGTCTGAGGCTTGGGGAAGAAGAGAGAGGGCATGATGAGAAGATGATAGGAGGAAAGAAGGAAGGAAGGAAGGAAGGAAGGAGGGAGGGAGGGAGGGAGGGAGGGAGGGAGGAAGGAAGGAAGAATGGAAGAAAGGGAGGAACCTAATCACAGTGAAGTGTTAAAATAGGGCTCACACATCCATATTGTTATGAGAGCATTTATTGAGTCTAAGAAAATGCGTCCAGAGAATGAGGGGTAACACACAACATTTGTCATACACTAGTGAAAGAACAAATCCTGAGGTTAAATGCTTACGTGGGTGTTGGAATGAAAATTTAAATAAATGGTCTTTGTAAATTCAAGATAACCCCATCTTCCCTCAACCCTACACACCTTTTCTGGAATAGGCACTAAAGCTCTGCATGCTTGACCTGAGTCCCCTTTATATCCTGGATTTTTTGAGGCAGAGTTATTGTCCAGAACCGCAGCTTTTCGGCCTTCAGGGCTCGGCCCACAGCAGGCTGGATGTCCAGCTTCAGGTACTGCTCATTATGGACCAACTCAGGCCAGTAGGGTAGACCCTCGCTGTTGGGGTTCCTGTGGATACGCCACCAACAGGGAAGAGTGAGGTCACTCTCATCCAATACCTGATTCTTTCAATGAGTCAGAGTAGTGGATAAGCAAGCCAGGGACCTGAGGGTTTAGAAGGTCTGCTCCACTGATAAAGAATACAAGTGTCTCCCACTAGTGTGTGGTCCATATGAAGCATGGGAAACTGTCTAGTTTTATGTCTCCCTCTCTGAGGGAAAATATAAAGAACAGTACCACAGTATTGTGACTCAGCCAGCAGGTCTCTGTGGGTTGACCAATAACTGAAAGCTAGAAAATATTTGTCTAAATTGGCCTTGGGTTGGAGAAGACTATGGTTTAATTAAGGACCATGCAAGCTAATGAGGCACACTCACATGGAAGCCCTGATGGAGACCTATCCATAAGGAGTTGAGGGAGGGTCATATTCTCACCCATGTCTTGCAAAGTTGGCCCAGTACTTCATCATCCTCCTGTTCAGCAGCTTCTCCTCCTCAGTGAAGTCAACTGCAGACAAAAGGAGACAGGAGTTCAGGTCCTAGCCACCTCATACTGGTGCAGTTCATGCTCTACTATAGCAACCACAGCCTGACCCTGCATGTGAGGCCTGGTGTATACCCTCTTCTTTCAACCTCTACTTGAATTCTCTCATGTTCACTCCTACCCCATTATGCTATCATTCCTTTTAGCACAAGCTAGACTAGGAAAGGTTCATATTCTAACCATGGTAGAGTTTTGCTGTTTTTTTGTCTTATTTTTTCTGCTCACTGATGGTGAACCCTTGATCCTGTTTCCTCCCAGAGTCTCAGTTTCCTCAGCTGGACTGAGAGCTCAGTAATCCCTCAGGACCTCATCTGGGTCTCCATTCAGCTCAAGGAAACAAGGAAGACTCACCTTTCATGCCCCAAAGGTGGGAGCCAAAGACAAAGGGAAGGTGATCACCGTGGTCAGCCCTCACATGAGATGGTCTGACATGCTTGACGTAGCTTGGCTGATGCTGGAACTCATAGAAGTAGACAGGAGCATGGGAACCTGGGAGTGAGGACATGTTGACATGATCTCTCACATCGAGTTTTTCTGCCTTAACTTTGGTGACAAGAAACCTTCCTCTAAAGTTATCTGGAATCAGAGTTGAGTGGTGAGCTCCAGCCTAGAACACTGGCTATGAGAAACCTTCTGTTAAACAATGGCCCTGGTATTCCCAGACGAGTAGTTTTGACAAGATATGGGGTATAACTCACATATTTCCCCTGGATCTGGATAACATACCACTCTTTTACACTAGAAATAATTATTTACGGAGGTAAGTAGCTTAAGATGGCAGAGACCTGATGATGACATGGATCAGGCCTGGAGACTCCAGAGCTCATCTGGGGCCCACAGCTCTTAGTCCCCTTCCTTGGTCTTGTTAAAGATGTACAAGATGTACTCACGCTGAAAATATGCTACTTGGAGTGCAGGAATCACAAACATGAAGTCCTCTAGCAACTCTCTGAACTGTGCTTGGAGGGTCTGGGGGTCCTTAACTCCCCCCATGTACTCTTCCATTAGCAGGTCACCACATTCAGGAGGCAGCATCTACACCAAGAGGAATCAGAAAGACTTATGCTAGAAAAGCTCTCGCATCAGTAGGCAGCAGTCTCTGAGTAAGGTATATGGCAGGGATGAGACCAGGTGTGGTAGAAATGTGCAAAGCTTTGGGCAAGTTCACACAGAAACAAATGTGTACACTAGGCTTTATTTCTGGGCATGGCATCTGAGAAGAACATATGGAAATCCTCTCTATCAGGATAGGAACCAAGGTCTCTCACCATTTGTGCTGCTGTGCTCTTCAGAAGAGCTGACAGGGTCTCTCTGGTTATGTTCTTAATGACATGATCAAGGCCCTTCATCTGGGGGAACAGAGGAGAGTCTTAAGTATAGGATGGGCTGGATCTAGGTCAAAGTATTTCTGAGTTTCCACCACCAGCAATTTGAGTTTAAGAGCTTAGAACTAGGTCTTACCAAGGGAATTCCCCAGCCACACTCGTCACTGTCTATACCAATAATGCTGGGGACAGGGTGAAAATCCACAGAGTCCAACAGCTCCCGAGGATGCTTAGTTAGGAATGTCCCATCCACCGTAGCAGGGATCATAAGGAAGACCTTTGGGGCATTAAGGTTTGGTGCTTAAGATAAATCACATAAATATTCTGATGTCCATTGAAAACACACACTCTTTTCTAATTTCCTATCTCTTCTCAGGATGCTATGTTCACTTCAGAGAAACTGGATATGAACATTAGCCTATCTTGTTTTTATGGTCTACACCAAATCCATGGATATCAGTTTACTGGTTTGAATAATAAGTACTGGCAAGCCCACATTCTAGCGACCAGATCCTCCAAAGTACACAATTCTCCCAACCTGGTTAATAGCCAGAATCTCTGCTTCAGTCTTGTCTCGTAGGCAGTGTACCAGGGCCTCTGAGTCCTTGGCTTCACATCCTGATAGGTTGGCCACTGTCTGTAAATGGAACAGGTAGTGGTTGGCTTATCCCTACCATCAAGGAGCAGAGTTTCCTTGATTTCAAGATATCTTTGTCCCTAAATACCACATCCTACTGTTTGTTGTGTATGAAAGGACTTAAGTGGGATTATTTACATTTTCTGTTTCTCAAGACAAGTGGGGCAGGGACAGTTATATCTGCATATTTGTTTTGTTGTTGCTGTTGTTCTTTATTCTTGTGTGTGTGGTGCTCATAGGTACACACAATGGGTATGGTATGCCATATTTCGCCTGTGATGGTCAGAGAAGACCCTTGGTATTACTTGTTGCCTTACCTGCTATTTGCATTTGTCTACACCAGCTTATCTGGACTCTGCTTCCCATGTCTCCATAGTATCACTGGGTTAACTGTCATTTATAACCACATTTAGCATTATGTGGACTCTGGGAATTTGAACTTGAGACCTCACACTTACATAGCAAGAATTTTTACCAGTTGATTCTTTTTATCAATCCATGTATCTTGGTTAGATTTTTTTTTGTCAACTTGACACAACTCGTGGTCCCATGGTAATTTTTAAAGATGAAATTCAACTGGGAAAATGTCTTATCAGATTGACCCACAGGTAGGTTCAGGTGGTTTTTTGATAAATGAGTAATGCAGGAGGGCCCATACGACTGCAGACAGTGCCACCGTGTGTAACGATAACTCTTTCCACCAACAGCCTGAGTTCCACCGCCACGTTAGGGCCCCCAAATAGCACACAGAGACTTATATTAGGTACAATGCTGCTGGTCAATGACTAGGATTTCTTATTTGCTAGCTCTGTCTTAAGTATCAACCAAACCATTTATCTATATATTTTATAAAGACTTACCTTATTGAGGATGCCAGCAGCATGCATCCTCTCTTCCTGGGATCACATGGCAACTCCTCTACTACATTTCACAGAATCCTCCTTCTCTCCTAGTTCCACCTATCTTGCTTCCATATTGGCCAACAGGGCTTTATTTATCAACCAATAAGACAAATATATATGCAGAAGGACCTCCCACATCAACCATGGGCAGGTGTCCTGGCTGTATAAGAAAGCAAACTGAGGAAGCCTTGGGTAGCAAGTTGTATGGTCATACTGACCAAGCCATGGTCAGTATGTTGCTCATGGCCTCTGCATCAGTACTGGCCTCCATAAACCTGGCTGAGTGCCCAATTTGACTTCCCTTCAAGATGGACTATGAACTGGAAGCCACAGGACACAGCTTTGTTACATAAAGCAGAGGGGTGGAGCATAAATTTTAAATGCCTCTCATAAATTACTGGAAAATAACTATGTCCCTTGATCCTTGTTTTCCCCACTTAATAGAATAACTGAGAATCACAGGCAAGGATGGAAACATCAAAGTAGGGGCTGGTGCTGTTGAGGGCACTCACTGTGTAGACCACTTCGGACTTCTCAGAGATAAGGTCAGGCAGCAGGGCCACTCCACTCTGCATAATGGCTCCATGGAAGAGTCCTTTGGACATTGGGGACACAACAAGTGAAGACACACTTGTGCCTCCTGCAGAGGCACCAAAAATAGTGACCCGGCCAGGGTTGCCTCCAAAGAAGGCGATATTTTGCTGGACCCAGTGTAGGGCAGCTACTTGGTCCAGGTAGCCCCAGTTGCCTCTGGCATGCTCGTCTCCAGTGCTGTGAAATGTCAGGAATAGGAATTACAGGTCTATCCATGTTCTACTCAGACCCCATTGTCTAGCCCAGTCCCAATATTACCTGAAATAGCCAAGGATACCCAAGCGATACTGGATAGAGACCATTACTATATCCTCAGTAGCTGCCAGTATGGAACCATCATTCATAGATGCCATTCCTATAGCCAGTCCTCCACCATGGATCCATACCATCACCTGAAGAAATCAATACAGATGCCAGGAGATTCACACACACTCCAAGCTCAACTGGACTGCCTACTAGATTATCAACTGCTTTTTCCTCTGTGCAGGTCAACATACACACTGATTTCACCAAGATCTCAGGACACGGTTCACAGATGGGGTACAATAGGCTTATAAGCATATATTCATTCCCACTTGCTGACAGGAAATCTCAGCATGGATTAATGGATCTAGATTAAAGTAATTTGATCATCAGTCTCAGACCCATCAAAGTATAGGAGTGTCTTTCCTGATCACTAATCAGAAGGGACATCAGATCCCATTGGCACAAGAGATAACCTACAACTAGACATTTTCATGATGTCAATATGCAGCCATTGAGCACCCTACAGAATGGATCTGCCAGGTTCAAGTTGGTAGAAGAATTCCTGGTTTAATCAAAGACACAGAGCCTCTTACCTCTAGCACCCCAGGGCTCTTAAACCTCACACACTGAGGTTTAAGCAATTCACCAAGGCTGAGATGACATTTGTTAGCTTTTTAAAATAATTATCCATCCCTTTTTATTTACTTTACATACCAACTATAATTTTCCTTCCCTCCTCTCCTACTGTTCTCTCCTCCCCACCTCTCATCTATCTCCCTCCTCCATCCACTCCTCCTCTGTCTCCATTCACATGGAGTATGGCCTCCCTTGGGAATGAGAAAATATCACATATCAAGTAGAGACAACACAAAGCTACTTCACCATGCAGAGGGCTTAAGTTAGTCCCATGTCAGCTTCTCTTAGCTATTCATCCAAAGTCTGTGAGTTCCCACGAGCTCAGGTCAGTTGTCTTTGTGTGTTTCCCCATCATGATCTTGACCCTCCCCCCATTGGCCATTTAATTCCTCCACCCTATCTTCAGCTGGACTTCCAGATTTTGGCTCAGTGCTCAGCTGTTGATCTCTAAATCTACTTCCAGGAGATGGCCTTCTGGAACCAAATAATCAGGGTCTAAACTACAGCAGGACTCATAATTTCTTTGTCCCTTCCAATTTTCCAAAGAAAGAAACATCCTCTTCCTCAGCTGACCACAGCCTGACACTCACAGGTAAGTTAGAACCTTCATGGGCATGAGCTGGTGTGTAGATGTTGAGATACAGGCAGTCCTCAGACATAGAAGTAGGAGGCATGATCAGATTCATCTTCTTTGCAAACTCTGAGTTCATTATATCAGTCTGAAGACACCTGGGAAAAATAGAAGCGAGTTAGTTCAAGATATGCGAAGATCAAACCTAAATCTTAGTTTGCATTTTCTCGAAGCCACCTTCAGCTACTACTCTCTATGATGCCCTGGCAACATATGGTCTTTCTCTAATGCAGAAATGGAAATGAGCAGGACTTTAGGGAAGAATCCAGTTGGATAGTAATATCCTGAGAGCTACTAAGGAGGCTGCTGGCATCCTCGATTAAAATGATTGGTTTCCTGTACTGACATTCATCACTTCTGTACTAGGTGGTTAGTTTTGAGTGTTGACTGACACACTAAGGAATCACCTGGGGAAATGAATCTTAATGAGGGATTTTCTAGATCAGTGGTTCTCAACTTTCCTGTTGCTGTGGTACTTTAATACAGTTCCTCATGTTGTGGTGACTCCTAACCATGAAATTATATTGTTGCAACTTCATAACTATAATTTTGCGAGTGTTATGAATAGTAATGTAACTTTCTGTTATGCAAGATATCTGATGACCTCTGGGGAGTTGTGACCCAGATATTGAGCACCACTGGCCTAGATCCTGTTGACCTGTGAGCACACCTGTGACAAATTATCTTGATAACCATGGAGAAAGGAGTACCTGCATGTTAAATGAAGCACCATTCCCTGAGGAGGGGCTTATGAATTATATATGAATGGAGAGAGTACATGAACCATTAGCAGGCGTGTGTGTGTGTGTGTGTGTGTGTGTGTGTGTGTGTGTGTGTGTGTGTGTGTGTGTAGTGATTATAAGTAAAGCCATTATGTCCAGCTTTAAGTCAGATCTACAGCAAAGCCTTTATGTCTGGCTTTACATGAATTGTATAGTAAAGCCTTTATGTTTGGCTTTGGGAGAAATGTTTCAGCAAAGCCCTTTGCTATGTTTGGGTTAACCAGCAGAGGCTGAGAAATAGTTTTGACACTGTTTAAACCTTGAAGAAATGTTTCTCTGGAGAGCCTGCTCTTGGTACTAATTGAGCTTGCAGCTGCACTGACCTTGGTCCTAAGACAATCCTGGCAGACTTGGAGTTCTTCCTTTTGATTATGGGTTGCTATACTCAAAGGGGCCTTGTATGGTTTTGTATGGGTTGGCTGCTCTAGTGGGCAGCAAGAGCAAGATGATTTTGGTAGTTGGAACCTTTCCCAGCCCCAATTACCCTTGTGTATGTTTGAATAAAGTAACTGGAGTGAGCTGAGTGTCAATCTTCTCCAAAAAGGCTGTATCTTCCAGCTCCTTCAGAAAATGAAGGCTTAGCCTCTTGGTGATCTTATCTCTCTACTGTGGGACCTATGAGTCTACCTCAAAAAATATGTGTCTTTTAGGCTCTGTTCCTGATTAGGGATGTGATGTAATCAGCTCTTAGAGTTTCTGCCTATAACTGACTATAATGTGGAATTGTCACCCACACTAAAATCTTTCTTCTACATTGCTTTTTTCAGGGTACTTTATCACAGCAACAGAAAACAAGCTAAGACATTTGGGTATTGGTGTGCTGTGTCCACATAGTAACTATAGGAATGAATGGACAATACCACAGAGTAGTGACACATTCTTCATGTCACTTCCAGACCTCAAAGTATCTCCTTCTTCCACATAGTCTGCAGTGGAAAGCATTTGTACCTATTCCTTAGTCAGTGGCACCTGGAGAATGGATGGTCACAGTGACTGTGAAGGATGGCCTTAGTCTGCTCCTCACTGCAGTACATGGAGCTAGCTCCCTACAGGTGTAAAGCACTTACCCAGAACCCAGGCACAGTTGTCCTATCTAACTCTTATCTCATTCATTGAGAAAATGCACTGGAGACTGCCCTTAGCACACAGAGAAAGCAGCTCTAGAGCTGAGATGGAGAAAGCACTTCAGTGTGGCCCGAGGTCCCCTGGGTCCTAGAACTTACATGGCTGGATGGGAGGTCCCATCTCTCACACCACTCCACGGCTCAGGGGGCTCAGGTGGAGCAAAGCGCAGTGATCCTACAGGTGGCTTGGCAAAGGGAATTCCCAGGAAGGTGTGGACACCAATATCACCGTCTTTCACATGAAGGAGGCTTCCTCTCACCTGCCCTGTGTGTGTGCTTCTGATGGGACTGACTGCTTCCTGGCCTGTAGGTGGAAAGAAGCCATCAGCTGCCACAACTGTTAGGAATTCCTACCACATTGTCAGTTTGGTGCATGGGGAAGGTAACCCGGGTCCTCTCAGCTCAGCTGTGGGATGTGGAGATGAGGCCTTCTGCATTACCTATGTCCAGAAACCTTGTTCATTGGCCCTCTTGAAAATTGACAGGGTACTTCTTTAGTCTACAAGAAGACAGGCTTGTAGCTACTTGGCATTATGAAGGAATTATCATTATCCAAGTTCAGTAGGACCTTTAGGCGGAACCACACACTGAGGAAGGACATGATTCTCCTGCTCTTCTGTCCCTGCTGGCTCCTCAGTACATAGTAACCTTACACATCTCTGACCCTCCCTGTGCCACAGGGCCCACCGTGAACTTTGGTGGGGGCGTTAGGGGGTGCACACATCCACACTCTCCTCTGTCATCTCCACCAGCTCCTCCCTCCCTGGTGCCTTCCCTCCCACAAGCTCAGCCTCTGACTGCAGAACTGGGCAGCTCTGACCCTGGTCCCCTCTGCTCACTTAGACAGTCTCACCATGCACATGGAGGAAGAGAAGCAGGAGCCCACAGGACACAGCATACAGCCAACTAGGAAATCTATCGAGTGGCATTGTTGAATCCCAGGCCTAAGCCTGTGCTGCTACAAGATGACAGTCTCTCTGCAGGAAACAGTACAGGCAGGCCTTTTCCAGGCAGGAATTTGTACCTTTCGGGGTGTATGTGTGGAAATTTCATTGAGCTGGGCAAAGTTCTTATTGCAGGAAAACTGATAAGACAGAAGGCACAGGGAGCCAATAATCAGTAGTCAGGGCAAAGCCATCTTCCTTGGCCTATTGGATAGACCCGGCATGACTTCTGAAGTCCTTCTGGAATTCCAGGAATCCTGTCCTTGAACACAGAGTCACCATAGTGCAGGGGCAGGGGCCCTGACTATTATCTTCATCCTTAAGACTCCTCTTCTTAAGTGACTTCTCTTCTTAAGACTCATGGAGTACTGAGTCCACCACCCTCAGGGTCCCTTGTCCTTATGGGTTACCTTAGTATATGAAAGTCCCCTCCCTGCTAGGCCATGCAGGGTTCTCTGAAAGACACTGAAATTCTGGCTCCTGTACCTATGTGTGCAACATCTTCAGGCCCTAGTGCAGTCATTCTCAACATCCCTAATACTATGACCCTTTAATACAGTTCCTCATTTTGTGGTGACCACCAAAGATTAAATTTTTTTGTTACTACTTCATAACTGTAATTTTGATACTGTTATGAATCAGAATGTAAATATCTGATATGCAGGATATCTGTTATGTGACCCCCAAAGTGGCCATGACCCACAGGTGGAGAGCTACTGCTCTAGTGGAAATCCCAGGCCCCACCCCTCCTGCACTCAAAGGAAGGGATTTTCTCTGTTTAGCTCCTGAGCACAGCTGAAGTCCATCCTCAAATCTCTCTGCTTCCTGGTGTTGAAGATTGATTGGCATTGCATGAATCATCATTTTGGTGATGACCTATGTTTGGCTTTAAAGGCAATGAATGAAATCAGGAAAATGTAGAATTCTAGGATGGCACAGGTTTGTCATATGTAGGGTGACTGAGAGCATCAGGATCTAGAAGATGGGAGAAAGAGCCCTTTAATGATAGTGAGAAAATGATTTAGAGATACATAGAGGCATTTGTCACCTTTGTATAACACACATAAGAGAAAAAATTAATAGTAGGCTATAAAAAAGTTTAGGGACAAAAATAAAAAATAAAGCCACAATATAAATTAATAATGTGGGAGATGAAGGAGAATTACGGTTTCTCAAAGAAACAAAAAATTTACAGGGATCTGTGAAAGTTAGAAATCACCCTCTGTACATGGACAGGTACTGAGAGAAACAGAGATAGGATGCTCTTCTCCTGGACATTTCTGGACCTCCTGATGTTTCCATCCCACTCCCAGGACACACCTCACAATCAAAAATATTCACAGATGTCTCAAGCGTGTGGTCATGAACCTCATAGTATCTCCAGGCCCTGAGGGATGAGGAGAAATTTAAACATGCTACACACACACACACACACACACACACACACACACACACACACACAGCATCATCTGTGCCAGCACTGCCATGACAGCTGCTGAGAGAAGTACAACTGTGACCTGAACATAAAATGCTAGCCTGCTGTGGTGGGGACCAGGAAATGAGGAGATGATGGAAAGTCACCTAAAGACCTAAAAAGAAAAAAAAAAAAAAAAAAAAAAAAAAAAAAAAAAAAAAAAAAAAAAAAATTCTCTACCAGAC